TTTCTTTTAATAATTTTGTATTCGGATTTTTTACTGTTCTGATAAATTGATAATCATAAATTATGACATGATCTTGAAGAAGTTATTCATGTATTTGTAACCAATTAACCAATCAAAATTATTTTGTTTCATTTACTAATAGACAATTTTTATTAGATAGATATCTGTAATGATGATCTCTTGATATTGTAAAGGCTAATTTAAATATTTTATTATTATTATTATTTACTTATAGTATTTAGTGATACGGGCCGATAAAATTTCCCGGGCCGGGGTTTTAAACCAAAAAAACTTGGGCGGGTCATCAGGGCCAACTTTCTACAAGAGTTCAGTTTCGAATAAGTCAAGGTTAGTTAGAGTATTAGAATCACTATAATATGTGAGGAGAAGTGAAATTATTAATGAAAAACAAAATTTACAAAAAAAGGTTAACCAAAAAGTCGCAATCGAAATAAAAATTAATTTGTATTATTTCGGATTCGGAAGAAGTAATTGAGGAAGTAATTAATTGTATCTAACCTAAAATTAATAAGTAACTTTTCTTTGGCCTAACTCTAACCCTAAAGTTAATAAGTAAACTTTTCTTTGACCTTTAATTAAAGTTGTAGACTGAACAAATTCACTGTTACACAAAGTATCATATATTTCTACTTTTAGAATTAAGATTAAATCATATCGATATGCTACGTAGTGATACTTCATTGTGTGGGAAGATTATGCCAGTACGATCACATGAAAATATGTATCGCTATAATTTATTACCTTGTAGATCATCGCATTATTCCTTACATAGTAAATTCCCGTTACCTCATTTTCATGAGTATTTATTAGTAATCGAATTACGTATTTAGGTTGATAAGTGAAATGAGATTATTCCTATAATAAAAGGATAATTAATAATTGCAAGCTGTAACGAGCCGCTCTAGTAAATAAATTGTATTCCTATTATTATAAATTACCTTCTTTAGATATCTTTATGATCATTTTGATACAGAATGAACATAACTCTGTCTGAATCGCTTACGATTAGTCAGTAAGTACGGGAATAGAATTTTCAATATAGAAACCATGGTCATTCCAATGCTCATAACTATCTAAATCGCTTACATTAGCCAGTAAGTATAGGAATAGAATTTTTCATGATAAATCGCTATAGAAACCACAATTATTCTTATACAAACTAACATAACTCTATATAAATCTTCTATGCTACCATAATGGTTAGCAAGTACGGTAACAGAATTTTTTATAGCAACTCGTTATAGAAATCATGATCATTTCGATGCAGAACGAACATAACTCTGTCTAAGGGTGATCTCAAACAGCTTCCTAATGTAATTAGCTAGTGATCGAGGTGTTGCTCAAATCGTTGCGATTAATTGAATGGTTAATGAGGTTAATCAAAGAATTACTTGCTAAGAATTCATAGTGCGAAATGCGAGTTCTAAATTTTATCCAATCAGAGCAACTCTGTGAAAAAAAAGCTACTTACTTGGTTTAGTTTTATTCAATTTTCGACTAATTAAAATTTTGCTTCTGATCCATTGATTGAAGTGCTTGAGAATACATTAAATCGATTACGATAATCAGTAAGTACGGGAATAGAATTTAAAATTACCTGTCACACATGATCGTACGGGTCCTGCGTGGCATCGCATATCGCGCAGCTATCCTAATTAATTAAAGGCTAACAAAAGATATTTACTTAGCAAAAAAATTTTTTTTAAAGAGTATGGTGCAAAACATCTAATCGCATCAAATATAGGATGTTCTATAGAATCGGTGGGCAATATAAGAAATAAGCTTCGATAATGATTAGTAATCATTAATTTTTGATATATTCGCGGAGTTTGCCCATCCCAAATGGTATTAAATGTTGCGCCACTAAGCAATAATTAATAACTAATGCATATACATTCCAGAACTTGTAGTAGTTTCTAGAATATTAGTTGATTAAGATGTCACGCGAACAGCACTCATTACCTTAGCTGCGCAGAAAAAAGTGACGATTTTACTAATTTTCCCCCAAAGTTTCTATTGGCTGGGCGCACCAAATTACATATCACCTTTCGTTCAAAATATGACATCTCAGTTAGGTTAGGGTTAGGGTTAGTAGCCGACATTATACAAAAATTTTGCAAGGAATTTTTTTTGTTAGTACGCCAAAGGTGGTTTCTTAGACGAATTTTTAAGATAAATGTAACTTTACAAAAAAAAGTGATTGTTGTTTTAATCGTCACGTTACACCTGATCTTGCTCTCTGATTGGCCAAAATCGAAACTTTGGGGAGAAATTAGTAAACGCAAAAGTGACAGTCATGTGGAGATTCTACTCAAATCATGTGATGATCTGCCCAATCATCGTTGACTATGGCATAGATTAAAAAATTACAAAGATATCAATGTTTTTAAACTTTTTTGAAACTTTAAGCGAAGATAACTCGCTTACTATTCGGTCAAATTTTTTTTTATTTTCATTCTAAGTATTTAGAATTAAAAAATAAAAATAAAATTCATTGTATTCGATTGGGTATGATCACATTTCTTACAAAACTATGTTACCGTAAACTTAAACATTACCCTAATTATAATCTCTATTTAATTTTAGACATTTTTCTTAGAAACTCGGTTTATTTTTTTTTCAAAGTGTCCAAAATCTTTTCCAAAGGCTATCTAATGACAACACTATACTTAGTAATAAATTCCTGTATGATGCGCGTAGTCTAAAGGCATCAAAAGATTTTATAATAAACTTAAAATTATTATAATGTTTCATCTACGTACGTAACAAATTAATTGAAAAAAACTTGATAAGACCTATCAAACTACGTATTTTATTTAACTTTTGCTAGAAAAATTTTAAAAATTTCAGCAACAATACGTAGTAAAAAATTAAAAATATATATATAAATTAATCATACGTATTCAAAATTTTCAGTAACGCAGTAAATTTTTGAATGTCTTTAGATTGCGTGTGCACCATAAGGAAATATCAAAACATATTAACATATTCGTTGATATATTGTTGAAGACTTATCACTTCGAATTAAATCAGTTAATGAACTCTTGATCATATAAAACTTTTTTTTTTATTAGCACCTATTCGTATATTTATTATAAAGATCATCTTATCTTATGTTTACGTACGTAAAACCTTTTGTTGTTAAGGTCGATTAGCTGACAAATAACTTATCTGTTATCTAATCGAATAGTTAATTAGTCGGCTAATTTTTAATTTGGTTCCTAGGAATATTGATACGTAGTGAATTTTTTATGAATTCATACGTATATGTTTTAAATTTATGGAAATTTGTAATTCTCTAAGTTAATCTGGGTTATGTAGTGTAATGGTATTGTTCCATGACCAGTACGCGCCTGTTCGGGGTTCGAGACTGAAGGTGGGGTGTGCCAAGCTGCACTGACGAGTGTCGAGATGGCCTTCACTCGCATACTAACTTTTTATACTTTAATGATTTATTTTATTTTATTTATACATACGTATTAACAGTTAAATTCAGAATTTTAATTCATATTACGTGTATGATTTATTGCAGTTTGCAAAAATGATGTATTTTTGATCAAATTTTTGTATACCTTACTAACATGATAATTCTCCTGATTTTCGTCCATTTGCACGATTTTAAATGATTTCTTATTAATACAGAATTATTGCGCTTTGCAAAAAGGTGTGACCCTGTGATTTTCTTTGTGATGATAGAGAAAAACTTCTGTGATTCTAAATTTCCTATTGATCAAATATTTTAGTATATACCGATACGTATTGTCTAAAATCTGTAAAATTCCTAATTTCCCGTGATTTTCACATGACATCATGATCTGCAAGGTCACACCTTTTTGCAAAGCGCAATAATATTTTATTAAATAGTTTTGCACAATCGCACAATCGGATGACAATAGGGTAATTTTAATATGAAACATGATCAGTAAAACTTGATCAAAAATACATCAATTTGCAAATCGCGATCAAGTAAGGCGAGTTTATAAAAAAAACAAAATTTTTAAATTTTTATTAAATACGTAATTCAGTAATTTGGCCAATCATCGTTTTACGTACGTACAATACCGGCCCAGCCGATCATAATTCTGAAAAATTCTGAGCCGGAATTTTGTGATCTTCCCATAAGAGTTCTTCAGTCATGCTCATCGCAGTTAACGACGAGTCCAGGATTATGACACGTTCAAAGTACTCAAAATGATTAAAGTTATTTGTTTTCTTAATTTTAGCTCTTCTACTCTCAGAGCACTTAACAAAAGCATACTCTATACGTATCATGGGTATATGAAGATCTCGTAGCACATCCTCAGTATCAAATCATTATTTCTAAGAGTCAAATCCCGAATAGCAGTCTTGAAAATTTTGTATTTGACAAAGTACATTCAGTTATGAATTTTTGATTTAAATCGTTATATAAATAAGATAAAAATTTAAAGTATTTTTTCCCTATTCTTCGTGAAAATAGCATAGTTTCATCAGAATCTAAAGATACTTCAGATGATGACGCTGAAACTAAGTAACTTCAACAATGATGCGTTCGACTTCTGGAGTCTTATGTCTGCCAGATACCATTCATTGCCAATCAAATCGCTGTAGACGAAAATAAACCAGAAGTGAACAGAGATGATATTGATCTTATGAAGAAAGGGCTTGCCTTTTTAGAACCTATGAAAACAAATGTCTTATTCTTGTTAGTAATGTTACAATTTTACATTTATTTCAATCGATTCAATCGAATGTAATGATCATTTTAATCATCTTTAACTATTAGCAAAAAGGGTGGTGGACCTACAAATACTGTCATCTTAAGTGAATAGATAATGATGATATTAAAATAACATGAAAATTTACTCGATTTATTTGATTTATTCAATTTTTATTTTTATTTTTATTTTTTACAGTGATATTAGCCAATTTTATATACAACCCGGTGTCGAAGAAAAAAACCTTCATATATTTTGGGAAAATATTCTTCTCGTCTCCCCATGTTACTGCCTTCGAATAAAGTTAATGATGATGATCAAAAAAAAATTCACTTTACGGATTTACAAGCTGGCAGGGGTAAAAAATATTTGGTTCAACGTTTGGGTGGTGGGTCTATATGTGACTTGACAGGTAAACCGAGACAAGTTGAAATTCAGGTATGTCGAATTTTATTTTATTTTTTTTAAAAAAAAAAGGTATTGTATTCATGTTCCTTATTCTGTATATTGCGAAACCCGTAACGTGACCAGGTCAGGTTCCCCCCCCGTAAATTAATCATCAGGTGACTTCGGATAATCTGAATTAGGGTGACCCGGCCCGATTCCACCGATTTAACCGATTCGTTTACTTCGACCAATCAGACGGATAGGACTAAATAGTCCTATCGGTAAAAGAGGAATAAGTGAAGGGAACGGTCGTT